CTCTATATTAGTATTTAATGATTTTTAAATAAAGAATTTAGTTTAAATTAAATATTATAATAATAAGTAATAATAGAATTAAATAAATAACTTACTTTCTATATTATTTAAATAATTTTTTAAATAAATAATTTAGTTAGATTAAATTATATTTAAATAGCAATAAGTAATGATAGAATTAAATAAATAACTTATAACTTACGATCTATTAAACAAAGAATTAAGTTAGTTTAAATCATATACAAATATTATAACAATAAGTAATAATAGAATTAAATAAATAACTTACCAACTAAAAGAAATTACAAAATAATTTTTTAAATAAAGAATTTAGTTAGCTTAAATATAGAAATATAGACGTCATATAACTTACACCCTGTAGTATTATTAATTTTTAATCAGTTAGGTATAAATATAATAGGAAAGTATTTACTATAAATTAATATATCACTTACAATCTATTTAAATTAAAAATATAATTAGTTAAATTATATTAAAATATTAGATGTCAATAAATAAATATATTAAATATAATAATATCCTTAAGTATTATAACTTACCAGCTGTAATATAATTAATTATTTATTTAAACAAAGTATTTAGTTATTTGAGTAAAATAAACAAAGTAAAAAACTAAAAATTTAAATAACTGATAACTTACAAACTATAGTATTAATAATCATTAAATAAATTATTTAGTTATATATATAATATAGTTAGTTTGTATTTGTACATTATGCAAGTATTTTAATATTTTTGCTTGTTTAATATACCTGTACTCCTTTCCTTAAATCCTCCAGTATCATTTCCTTCAAACTCTACTATATTGCAAAATTGTTTAAAATTTTTATGGGATAATTCTAATTTTATATTATATATTTATGCTGTATTATTACCTTTACTAATACATTGACCCATTACTATATCAAATTCTTCCTAATCAAAAAGATAAAGTAAATATCTTTTTTTCTTTTTTTATTATTTATATTAAATACCTTATTAGTACAGATAAATATGGTAACAATATTTATGCAAATACAATATGCTGACAAGTATTGCATGTATGACAAAACAAATTTTGCATGTCCGGAAATGCATGTCAATCATCTTGTTGTTACATAGTAGTAAAAATCACAAAATAGAGAAAGTTTTCTCAATACATATTATATAAATTTTTTAAGTCATTAAGATTATGTTTGGCTACTAAGATTACTTAGAAGACAAAGAACAGCAAAGGTAGTTCTAATTATTATCACTTTTGATTTTTAATCAAAAACCAACTTGAAAATGATCGGCATATACTTAATTTTTTTTATTTTAATATTTTTAATATTTAATACTTATAAAACTATTATAAATCAAATAATTTAATGAAATTATATTTAAACACGTAGATAATGTATTATTTTTTTTATCAAATATTTATATTAAAATTATTTACAATTAAGTATACACAAAATTTTTTTATTAAAATAAAACTAGAAAATAAGTTTATTAATTATAAAATATTTAACTTTGAAATTAAAAGTCATGTGAGGGTGAAAATTTTTGGGTGATATTGGGAACATCCACCCATATAATCAACTAGTATTTATATATATTATTTTTTTTTTGTCAAATCGTGTAATGAGGAATAATGCTAAAGGTTGCAGATTCCAATAAGTAGTCATTTGATTTTTTTCCATCTGCCTATTTTGATTACTAATGCTAATTTTTTTCTTTTTTAAATTTGCTTTCTTCTTTTTTTTAGTATTGCTTGACTACTAATTTTTTTTTTTAAAAAAAAGAGCAATTCAAAAAATTATTTATTTTTTTTTTTTCTTTAGGTTCAGTTGGAGATCTTTGTATGTGCATGCTGTGTACTATGTAGATACAGGATTTTTACCTTTTTTTAATGATAATTGATTATTATCATTTTTTTTTTATTTTTAAAAAACTCTAAACAATAATAAAACAATTGAATTTTCTGTATACCATCAATTGATAATATTAGTAAAACTAATTAATTTGCAGATGATCAGGAATAATTAAACCAAAAATGATTAACAAATGACCCAACTATCACTATTCTGATCAAAAGTCTGGGAGTAAACTCCATATTTATCCCATATTTTACCCAGATAATTCTAGTATTTAATCCCAGCAGATCAACCTATATTTTATCCCAGATTAATTCATTAAACTTCACTGGCAATTATATCACCTATCTATTCGCACAATATTATTTAAAATAATTCAATTTAATATTCATATTTATAGGTCACTTCATTAGTATTAAAAGATTTATAAAAATAATATGCAAAGAGTGAATTTATTCCTAACACAAGGGTAAATCACCCCCTAAAATTCAATTTTTTATTGGTTAATCACTAATAATTTTAAACTTTTTTTATTTAAAAGACAAGAACATAATTTTTTTTATATAAAATGCTTATTTTATATAAAAAAGTAATGAAATTTATTTGTTACATACATTTATTGTTATGTTATAAAAAGTATTTATTTGAAAGTTTATTTACTAGTAACCAGTTTTTCAATTTTATTTATTTACTTTTAATGGAACTAGTAATAATACAAAAAAAATAGAAATCTACAATAACAAATTTATATTGAAAGAATTAATAAAAAAAGTTGTATGAGATCATAGTTAAAGGATAAAATGTAACAAAAGCAACTGATGTTAAAGATAAAATGGACAAAATCCACCAAAGAACAAAACAACTAGAAAATTGCAAAATAAAGAGACTTCAAGATATTAAATGCCATTATACCAATAATGTCATAAAATACCAATATGAATATATTCGTTATGATTTTAATTTTGAAAATAACTGTCTTTTTAGGAATGATTAATAAGAGAGTTTCTTTAACAGGGTTGGTATTATTTGATGAAGGAGAAATAATGCCAAAATAAAAGATATCACAACTTTACAATGGTTTTTTACACCATTCAGTAAAAAATGTTAGTAAAGATAATATCTTATTTAGACATAGTAAATCAAGGAAACTTATTGATCTTTTTTTTTGGAATAGGTGATTATTATTTACACCTATTAATGAAGTACCTAGGTGAAAGAGTTCGCTAATAATGTTTGTTAGGTTTTAAACTGTAACCAATCCAATTTTTTTTAAAAAAAATAAATACTCTATGACTGAAAAAGGTTTTATGTTTCAAACATATAATTCGCTAAGCCATTAATAAATCCCATCTAACACTTAAATTTAATTGTTCAAACCATTCGATTATTTTTAGTTTATTTCTGGCAAAATTGTGACATTGGATTACTAATTTTGTTTTAATTAGAGAATTTATATTTTTTTTTGTATTTAGTTAAACTGGAAGTTTTACTTAATTTAGGCAGATATGATGAAAAAATTAAATGTGATTATATAATTTTGGTTGAAAATTTGAATTTTATCGTATAAACACATGATCTAATTGGTCGCTTTTTCTATCATCTTTTTTTTAGTTTAACAATTTAATTAAATTGAAACAATAAAAATAACACATCAATAAACAAATAGTTAGCATTACTTAACTTAGTAAAATCTTGCGAAGTAAAATTGTATTTTGATAAAAAAAAAAAATTTCTCGATCATGATGATCATTTTTATTAGTTAATGATGAAAAAAAACATACTTTAAACACCAAATCTTGCATAGATTAATAATATCCCGTAATTCTTAAAATGCTAGAAATATTATAAAGCTACTGTACAAGGGGTGGGACAATGAACTAACTGAATGAACAGAACGAACGTAATTAACGTTAACATTAACGTTAACAATAGAATTTGTCTTCAAGTGGTTTCCTTTTTAGAAAGTCGGCCAACCATTTTTAGCTTTGATTGACTGGTTACACAATTTTTTACAAATCAAACTTTCCATGAAAGTACAACCATAATCAAATGATGTAATTATCCTTTATCACGAAAGTCTATCTATCATCTTGACACAAAAATGAAAAATACCATTGTACCACACTTATCTATATTTATACAAGTAATACAATTGTAAATCGAAGCAATTTTTTTTCTTTTCTATCTATATTTGTGCAAGAATACTATTTCTCACCCTTATTATGTTTACAAAATCGGTTGAAAAATTGAAAAAGCTTATTACACGAGTAATACAATTGTATTACCCTTATTATGCTTATAAATCGATTGATAAATTTAGTTTTTTTTTTGCAAAAGCTTATCTTACATAAGTAATAAGTTTTATAAAGGTTATAAAAATCGATTGAAAACTTGGCGTTCTTTTTTCTTATTCTTTTTTTTTCTGCAAAAAAGTTTCATCTTTAATTTTAAGATAATAATCTTATAAATGAAAAATAACTATGGAGCATGTAAAAATTGTGACGAACAATATACGAATTTATATAATGTAAAGTATGAATGATATAAATCATACTATATCACGAACTGGATTAGTAAGAATGAAAGAATCAATAATTTAATTCAAGAGATGCAATCAGAAATGGATTATATGATAATTGAATGGATACCATATAATCAGTTTGATAATATTGAAGAATTAGGTGAAAAAATTTTTGATAAAGTATATTCAGCAATATGGCGATGAGTCGATGACTCTTTGAATTATAATAAGCAAAAAATGAATATATAAGAAACCCGAATAAAATAGTTGCTTTAAAATTTTATAATGATCAAAATATTGTCAACAAATTTTTTAATGAACAGGTAAATCAAATTTAAAAACATGGAATAAATAGATAAGCAATACTATTTAGGAGAAAGTCGCTTCGCATGAGTTTTACAATATACTGTATGTACCCAAATACAAATGGCAACAAAATTGCTTATTTTTTGTTATTAGCTGTTGACGAAGTAGAAAATCATCTATAAAGTCGAGATGGTTCTGTTGTGCATATTGAACATAAAAATATATACCGTATGCAAGAAAATACAATTGGAATAAAACAACCTGTGGGTATATCCGGAAAAAACATCGCAAATAGAGCACACACAACAACCAGTACTTTTTGGAATAAGTCAACCGAATTACTTTCCCTCGTACTCGTGAATAAATTTTTTTTTGGGAATCAGAGCAGATATAATACAGCAATGAAATAGTCTACTAAACAAAACACGAGAGAATTGCCTCATTCATCAATAAGAGTAAAGGCACTAGCGCACGAGAAAAACTGCTATTTAGAATGCTGAACTTAAGTTTAAAGTCAGGGTATTCGCTTATAGCCAAAATACTGAAATTAAGGCATGATTTCGATGAGCTTAAAAAGAATTTTGTAAATCCCAGATTAGATATATTCAGATAGTTAAGGAAATTCTCAATGAAGCAACTTGGTTTCATAGAAGGTGCGACACAGAATGATCACGATGAACAATAGATTACAATTTACAAATCATGGTGAATACTGATTACCAAATATTGAAATACATATGAAGGGACATATACGGAAGCAGTATCCTCTCATTTCTAAAATCACCAACAAACCACATTGACATCACATCAAACTTCTCTTAAACTAAAGAAAAACTCGCAAATATGACTGAGTCTCAGTTTCCTCGCTATCTGTTTCCTCAGTTCACAGAAGAAGAGTTAGAAGAAGCAAGTAAAAGATCAAGGACTTCCGTGAATTGGACTGAATATAATAAGTGGGTCAAGGACGGCAAACCTTACGAAGAAGAAGATTTCATTGATCAAAAATGTAAAAATGATTCTCAACAAAGATCAGTTGGTAAATCCATTGATTTGTATCCATTCTATTATTTCATTTTTATGTATATATTAAGTTGATAAAGCCAAACTTGTAAAATTTTTTTGAAGGAGCAAAACGAGGTAACCTTATCAGAAAAGGAAGATCAGGACATGGAGTTAAATCTAACGATAGTTCCGGGAAGACAACTAGAAAGGCCTGGAAAAAAAGCATTGTATTTGCTTCCACAAATACTAAATCCAAAACCACCACTTGTAAAGACGGTGAATATAGTAATAAAACACTTGGATCCAATAAAATATCCCATTCTATCAAACTACACGAACATGATGATTCAAAATCTGCAAAAAGATAATTTCCTTCATGTTTTGATCGGGCTCAGTATTAGAGCGGAAGTTAGAGAATTTATACTCGATAAAGTAAGCAATCAATTGAAAATTAATGGACCAACAATCACCAATTATCATATTGTACCCAAAGGTTCTTACATGTACACATTATATCTACCAAATAACCATTTTCTAATCTTACGCCATCTGAAGGGTAGATGGTATAGAGCTTTGGCTTACTTTTCTAATCACAACACTTATTCTAATTTTCTCAATATATTCTTTACGAATAAGACTTTTACAACACCATAATATTTTTATAATATGAACTGCAATGTGTAATTTTTCTGTATACTTAACATATTCTTATTTAATATTTTTTTATAGCGCAGTATGATTGCAAATGTAATTTTCTATAATCTCTAACATATTTTTACATTAAAATATCATAATACTTTTAACTACGCATTATGAATAGCAATATATAATTTTTCTTACAAACAATAAATCAAAGTCTCATTTTTATATAGCTATATGTTTTTTGTGTGATTTGGCGAGTGGGATTGTGGAAACATGTATGCTATTATTTCTCGCTGCAATCGATATAGATTTGAAATGTGTAATGCAATTCTTTAAAAGAATCTTGCTAAGAAAACCCTATTAATGTATGGTGGAATTGAGGAGTAATTTCGTGACAAAATCATTTTTACGTGATAATCTGTTTCCACACAAAACAAGTGTTTTGGCTTTGAAGTATGTAAAATATCTAGGGTATAATGTTATAAAATATATACACATATATTATTATTGAAATTTAATGGTTCGACTAGTTCAGTTTGTGCTCCAAACTACTAGTTTCAGGTCTCAAACTAGATGAAACTAGGTTTAATAACCTGGTTTAAGACCTGGACTAACTGTTAAATAAACTCTAGATATTTTTTAAAATGACATGTTCTCATTTAATTATTTTCGGTTTGAGTAATCCGGTTTAAATCAGTTCGGAATAAACCACTTAACATCCCTATTAATTTGTATAAGTTAGTGTTAAGATTTCACACATTCTTTACAACCTGTATGTAGTATTGCGCATGTGAAGATTATTAATTAGATTTTTATTGCTTGTTTTTAAAATTTAATTTTAAATGTTTTCATTTACTCATTTATTAAATTTTATAAAATAAATTTATCTGCAAAGCTTAGATTAACCTGTATAAATAATTTTGAATTGCGCGACTTGTGATTTGATCTATTCCGTAATTATTATGGTTTGAATAATTTGATTGGCTGTCGGGTCATGTGTACGTTCCAATGGAGGATTCCATTGTTATTTATATTCCCTAATTTTGTTATTCATACCCCCATGGCCAGAATTAAGGACTGGATCTTATTATTTCGTTTTCAGTCTATTTTTGTTAAACCGGTTCTTTTTTAATTTTTAATATTATTTTTTTCTATTTTTTTAATTTTGAAACTGAATTTATAATATTTTTCATCCCAGTTTTTTCTCTTTATAGTAATCTATATTAATATTTTTTATATCGATTTGTTGGTCCAATAATAAGCATGATTTTTATTTTTAGTAATTTTTTTATTATTGTTTTATTAATTTTCTTTTCTATTTTTCTTTTTTTTTTCATTCTTTCACTTCTTAGGTTTGCATTAGCGATATAATTTAAGTAAAAATTTTTTTTTTTATTGAATAAATTGTATAAATATGCTTTGTGTAATTTTTTTTTACTTGAAAGATAAGAAAAAAACATGCTAATATTTAATGGGATATTGATTTAAACTCATTTAATCCTGTTGCAATGCAACAGGCCACTGAGGCCAGTATATAACTATTTAATTCATTTATAAGCTCATCAACTTGAATACCATAAATTTAAACTCTTCTACTTTATTGTTCAAATAAAACAGATCTTTCCTTGCAAATGAGAAGACTCTCTATAGCTAATTAGGTGACTCTTTTTTCTTTTGTAATATATTTCTTACAAGGTAAAATATTTTCACTTTCTTGATACAATTACTTACTGAATAATAATTTTCTAGTAATAATATTTTGAAAATTTTTGAAAATTTTTAAAGAATACCTCCAAATCATTTACATTGAATTTAAGCGCCAAACCTAAATATTCTAAACTATAAGGAAGAATTTGTCCTAAATTTTGTAATACAATTAAACTATCATAATCTAATTTGATCAGGATTAAATCGGTAAATAGTATCAATATTAAAATAATCAAGATTTTGTTATTAAATCAATTGCTGAAAAAATATTTTGATCATTATTTTACAATTAAAATAAATTTTTTTGAGTTTTTGCTGTGAATCAATCAGCCTGTATAAATCTTTTTCAACAAGATCACAAGAAAGAATATGAAGTGATGAAATTGTAGTGTAATTAGAATAAAAAAACATTTTATAAATGATATTAAGTTCCTAGACATAATAATTTTTGGGATTTTAATACCATAAATTAAATTGGATTTTGTAAGGTTAATTGTAGAGTAGAATTGAAAGAATCATCGTCAAGCATCCCAAAAGTCCATGAAATTTCAAAAGTATGTAAATTAGTATCATTTTTATTAATATTTTGATTAATGACAGGAAAACAAAATAACTATTTCAGTTCTTTGTTAAAGTTTGAAACTCTTGTTTTTGCAATCCAACTTTTAATAGAAAACTAAAGTTTTGTATACTTAAACATTTAATAAAACTAGGATAATTAAGTAATGTATTTGAAATAATAATGAATCAGTAATAATTCCATATTCATTTAATTTTATTTTGTCATCATCATTTAATTTGTGTAAGTAAATCAATAAAGCAGTAATTTTTAAGATGCCATCCTGAGAATGGGTCCTCCATAATAATGGAATTGCCAAACGACACCATAATATATTAACTAAAATACATCGAAAAGTCATTCGAAAATATTGTATAATTTCGTACGTCTGTTAATTCAGGTTGGTCTCCTGAAAAAATTTTTAAGCATGCCATATTTGCAAAAGAGGAAAGAGAGATATTATATTTAAAATTTTCAGATATTTAGACATAACGGATCAACTGATCATAACATTTATAGAATCAACGTGACTCAAACAATATTCACTTCACTATTTAACTTTAAAAATTAATATTTTGAAAAACATTGCTAATTAAACAGTTAAAAGTGTATGGAGAATAATCCTCATTTCTCTCTAACTTAAATGAAAAAAATTATTTAACTTACAAAATTTAAACTTAAATTTACTCAATCCTTTTATATATGTTCTTATTCAAAAATTCTATTATTTATTAACATTTTTAACCTTTGAGATCTTTGATAATTAGTGAAAAGCTATTTCTATATTTTGTTAGTCCTAGTTTGCTTATTAATTAATATCATCAACTTTTTAAAACAGCCTAAAATTTCGGTCCGCTTTTAGAATAATGAAAGTTAATTTGTATGCAGAAGACTTCAATTTAAAAATAATATTTCTTTATTGATTACATTTATATTACTAAATTCTTAGAATTTTTACTTATTTGCTATACAAAATATAAAATTAACTTTTATAGTTGCGTTCAGAACCCTTGTTAGTTTTTATATTTGATGCGAATCCTGATGATGACATGTATTGAATTGTACGTATTTTCAAACAACTTTATTATGAAATTACAAGTAAGGAATAAAATGCTACCAGATCTTTCTAGAACTTTGATGAGTTTTAATCTAATCCAACTTATAATTCCCCGTATGTCCACATAGCATGAAACAAAACTATATTTAGTATGACAACTAATTTAATTAGTAATTTAGCTATCTAATTTTTTTGCTAATAATGAACATACGCAAAGGATTTGTAGATGATCTTTTGTCATCTTTCTAATTTAATTATAACATTCATCAATCAGGGTTGCTTCAAGATGCATGATCACTATGCTTGTACTATACCTATAATCGTACCTAATACTTTAGATTATTTATCTTAATTTTAACGAAATAAATGAAATTTTTTCATTTGGATATTTTTATAATTTTATCACATACTCCTAATTAGTAAATATTAGTTACCATCTAAAAATTTATTACAAAAACAGCATTTACCTTCAAACAGATTCAAATGATTAGTAATTTGGCCTCTTTACATTTTTTTATCTATTAATTTATAACTTATTTATTTATTTTAGGATTGTCTATTAGTTTAGAAAGTTAGGCAAGTTTTGCACTTACTATCGTTTGTTTACTACTAACAATAGATAGTATAAAAAATGACGTGTTATGTACATAAATGAAAAATGATAAACATTTTCTTTAAGCATTGTATGAGGCAGCGGCATCACTACACGATATTTGTCGCACAATTTTTTTTTGCAGATCATGATCATGTGTAGTAACTTGTGCAACAAACGGAGTTTCCGCTCCGAAATTCAAATAATAAATTTATCATATTGGCGTAACTTTGGAATCCCCTTTTCTCCCTTCTTTTTTTCATTTAATATGGCATGCTCAAAGTTATTTTCAGGAGACTTACCCGAGTTAATGAACGAAGTTATACAATATTTTCATTATGATCATAAAACATTACATTCATGTATATTAGTTAACAGATTATGGTGTCGTTTAGCAATCCCATTATTATGGGAAGATCCTTTTTCAATTAAAGATCCTAAAAATTATCATTTCATTGAAATTTATTTGCATTATTTAAATGATGATGATAAAACGAAATTAAATGAATATGTAATTCATAATGAATTATTTCCTTCAAATGCATTATTTAATTATCCTAGTTTTATTCAACATTTAAGTTCATTTAAGATTTGTTGTTCTATTGAAAAGTGGATTACAACTGTTGGGACTTCAACAACTAGTAATGAGCAACATTCTAGATATTTTACACGAAAAACAAATTTACAAATTCCAATCTCTACAAAATTAATATATAAGTTGTTATTTCTAATATTCATTGAAAACGGAGCAAATTTGCATAGTTTTGAAGTTACGTTTATTAGGAAGATTGAAATTGATTATTTTAATGAGATTTTTGAATTAATTTTACAAAATCCGAATTTCATTTATAATATTAAAAATTTTAAAATTGATTTCCATGAAATAACTGATAACATAATGGAGTTTTTAAGAAATATCTACTCTAATTGCAAATCAATTTCGTCACTTGATTTTCAATTTCCATCATGTAATTTTAATTATTCAGTAATTGAAAAAAGCTTATCACAATTAATTAAATCTCAGGAAAATCTTCAAAAGATTTTATTTGGTTATAACGATTCACCATTGCATCATTCATTATTATCATTAAAATATTCTGATTGTTCAAATACATTAAATACAATTATATTTTATCATGTTGATTTTAAAAATATAGTTGTTTTAAACGAAGCCTTTAATCAGCTGAATGCTTTAGAATCAATTCATATTGTTTATTGTTATTCCCTAGATTCTAATTTTGTTCAACAAATTAGTAATGTCACTAAACCTTTTAAATTAAAGTCTTTATTTATGCGTGGAATTTTACAAATTGAATCATTAAAATTGTTAATGCAAAAATTTGGCAATTATATAGAAAATATTGGAATTACGAACAAAGAATCACAACAATTATTACAATTAATTATAAAATATTGTAGCAATATTAAATATTTGGTTACTACTTGGTTAGATACTACTAAGAGTGTTTATTTATTATTTAGTTTAATTGAAAATATTACACAAAATCTTAATTATCTTACAATTAATTGTCCTCGTTACTCTGAAAGTTACTATTTTAGTTCAATTATATTACAAAATTTAGGACAAATACTTCCTTTTAAATTAAAGTATTTAAATTTAATTCTTATGATTAGTAATACGATTAATTTGGAAATATTCTTAAAAAATTTACAAAATACTTTTATTAAAAGATTGTTAATAAAAAATGTAATAGTGAAAGAAGAAAATGAAGATATTTTCCCCTATATAAAAGAATATATTATGAAAACGAAAAGAGTTGAGTATTTGGCTATTTTGGAGAATATTGATGGAAAATATGAAGATTTATTTTTCCAGAAAGAAAAAGTGAAGGTATTCCAATTACATGGTATAAAAGTTTTAAATTACAGTGATTTGGTTATTAATGTTTATGATTTTATAAAAGAAATTTGTTAGATAATAACTAAGGTTACACATAGTACATATAAATCATTTAAATTGTATAAATAAATTGATATAAATAAATATAACAATTTAAGGAAATAATTTTAATATTACTATTCTTTTTATTGTATGCCAAAGTAATAGAATTTAAAGTTATTTTTTAATCAAATTTTATTATTTACATTATTAAGGATCATATTCTAATCTCAAAATTGTTACCAATTAGCTACAATAATTACTGAGATTCTATATATTTTGACAGTGATTGTTTTATAATTATTTATACTAAACATATATAATACTACTAAAGAATTTAATACCAATATACTGTAATCTATACTGTAATCTTATCATAATTAAAAATATCATTGTTTACCCTCGTTATAAAACATAATAAAGATTTAAAAGAATTGAGCTCACTTTAGTCAATTTAAATGTAAAGATATATATATCAAAAAAAAAGATAAGAATTCAATGCTAAAGATTAACAAATTTACAAATTTAACAAGCTTGATTATTATTCTTTATTTGCATATAAAATATTTGAACAATTTTTATCCTTCAATGTCAATATTAATAATAACTGAATGACATTAGCAATGTTTTTTTAAAATAAAATTGTTTATTAGGACATTTAATTTATTGACTTATAGTATTTACATAACTTATTAGCTATCTACATTTTTTAATAATTTATAGACTTGGAATAGTAATATAGTGTTAACGTCAGTTCTTTAGTTGCTTAAAATTATTAAGCAGTAAGTTTAATTAAAAATGTATTAAGCAGAAGGATCGGAGAGGTCAGGAATTAAGATGATTAACATAAATCTTATACAAAACAATCAATTCTAACAAATCCGACCAGATGCGAATAAAGTATAGCTTCCCAATTAGCCTATACGATCAGACGCAAATGAAGGATTTACAAACAATCAAAAACAAACAATAGGAAATAAGAAATAAAGTGTATAAGACATAATTCAGGACAAGGTGTATATTTAGAATATAGACTTTATTATCATCATTAAACTTTAGGACTTTTTGACCCTTAATACATGGCATGAGTGCGCGCTTTATTCAACCTTGCAAATACGATCTATTTATAATAAAATTTACACTAATTACAATATATTGAATATATACTATATATGTACTATATAAAATATATAAAATATATACTATATGAAATATATAAACTATATGGAATATATAAACTATATGGAATATATAAACTATATGAAATATATAAACTATATGGAATATATAAACTATATGAATTATATTTAATATATTACATTTATCCACTATTTTTTTATTTTTTATTTTTAGAAAACAGAAAAGCGAACCCGTAGATTCAATTATACAGAGAACATAAAAGTCTATATATAATACTATCACTACATGGCAAGCCACCCCGAAGCGTGACGAATTCTGTTCTTTTATGGAGTAGGTGAACACGAGTCAGAACCACGAACTTTCCCAAGAACACCCGCCTTGAAATAAAAAATTGGTAGCCCAGGATAGGATTACTCCCCCTGGGTGTCGACTACCGAGGTAGTCTACCATTGGTTGATACCACGGTTGTGACCGAAGTCGGTGTGATACCATGATCTACGCACTTTCCCACCACTAGGGCTACGATCTACACCTTCTAGGCCTATGGTATAGGCCCACGCAGTATAATTCATAGAGCATCCGTTGGCTGGACGGATCGAACCTGCGTCCTCCATTCCTGTCTTAGACAATCATAGGAGGGGTACACCATGCCAGTGCACTAGGTCAGCCACGACCCTATTACATTTATCCACTATGTTGCATATATTCGACATTCGCAACATAGATCGTCATCATGTGATCATGAACTTATTCTTGTGTAACAATAGTATATTGGTCGATCAATATCTCAATTCTTTAACAATAATAATAATAATATTCTTTTTTAAATTATGAAATATTTGATAATTTGGGAAATTCTAATCCTATACTTTTGTTAATAGTCTTACTTACTAGTTTACTTACTAATTATAATAACATCAATTTTTAAAACAGCCTGCAAATTCACTATGATTTTTGTAGTACCTGTATTAAGTCAGATATATTTTAATTTAACGTAATAAATGAAATTTTTTATTTGGAGTTTTTTACCGTCTCATAATTTATTTCAAAAATCAAGCAGTTCATCTTTAAACAGATTCAGATTTGGCCTCTTTACATTTTTTATCATATAATATTTACTATTTTTTTATATCGCTTTTTATAATACATTTCTCAAAAAAAGTAATATTATTTTTCTTACTTTTACAATTTTACAATTAAATTAACAAGTTATGACAATAATAGCATTAGTTTGGCGTTACCTTGAAAATTCACCACAGCCGAAATTTAACATGATTTAGAACAAAATGTATATATTTTATGTATTTTATATAATTATTATTAAACGTAAAATTTAATTTTCTTTTGAACACAAATCTTTTTATAGCCTTTTATTTTTAAGAAAATGTTGCATATTGAAAGTAGAAAAAAGTCTTTTTAATCTTATCCGTTTATTTCACATTTTAGTAATCCGCTCGATTTATCATGATTATCATTTTATAATGTACAGCAATAATTAATAAAAATTAATTTATGATTTTATTTATAAATATAACCAAAGAATAAAATTTTTATAATAAAAATTTATTATTAATATTTTTTTGGGAGGAATTGTAATTATCCCCTCATCATTATACTTAGCCACCAACTCATTGTGCTCATTTGTCCATGCACCATCCAGCTTGTAATAACTCTCAAATTTAATTGGAATCTTTTTTGGGTATTTCCAACTCTCAAAAAATGATTCTAACTCTTCTGTTGTGAAATTCCATTTGTATCCAAATGAAAATATTCATATAGTTTAGGAGATACATTACTTAAAATCCTTAATAATTTGTCTCCATTGGGATCTACTACTTCGCGGGTAGCAACAACATCAACTCTGGGATCTTATTTTTTCGAATTGTGTACAATTAGAAAAAATTCTGCTAATTTCTATCGAATTTGTAGGGTCAATATTTATAATTAACTTCATAGGTGTGGCGATATTGCCCTAATCAGTTGATTGTTTTTATCTGGATAATCTTCATACCCACTAAGTGGAAAGCGTATATTTTCTAATTGTATAATAAAAGTGAATAAAATTTTTATAATAAAAATTTATTATAAATATGTTTTTTCTTCGGAATTGTAATTATCCCCTCATCATTATACATAGCCACCAACTCATTGTGTTTATTTGTCCATGCACTATCAGCTCATAATAACTCTCAAATTTAATTGGAAATCTTTTTTGGTATTTCTAACTCTCAAAAAACGATTCTAACCCTTCTGTTGTTGTGAAATTCCATTTGTATACAAATGAACATTTTCCGTATATTTCTAGGAGATACATTACTTATAATCCTTAATGATTCGTCTCCATTAAGATTTACAACTTCGTGGATAGCAGTAACATCAACTTTGGGATCATATACATCTGCTGTAAAGCTTATTTTTTTTCTAATTGTGTAATCAAAGAGAATAAATTTTTATAATAAAAATTTATTATAAATATTTTTTTTTTCGAAATCGTAATTATCCCCTCATCATAACTTACTTAAAACATTTATTTTGAAATTCTGGAGGAATATCCAGGCATTTGTTGACCCAATGACCATTTTTTTACAAAAAATACACGTGTTACTGTCTTCCTTAAACAAGATGCACTTTTGATTTTTCTAGTCCAAATATAGTAAATTAAGTTATTATTAACCGAATGCAATAAATCAAAGTTATTAATATGGCAAGCCGAGCTGGACTAAACTATCAGGCATTGGGCGGGTGAAAAATCAAGCATGGATTGACAAAATATTACACCGTGCCTGACATTTTACCTGTTCATGCTTGATATTCATCTGTCCGTGCTTGATATTTATCTGTACGTGTTTGATATTTTTATCTGTTCATGCTTGATGTTTATCTATCATGTGCTTGATATTTTTATCTGTTCATGCTTGATGTTTATCTGTACGTGCTTGATATTTATCTGTACGTGCTTGATGGTTTTATCCGACCATGCTTGACATTTTTATCCGTCCGTGCTTTATATTTTTATCCATCTGTGCTTGATATTTTTGTCCGTCTGTGCTTGATGTTTTTGTCCAACTGTGTTTGATTTAATCCAACTATACTCGATAATTTTATCTTTGTCAAAAATTAGTTTCTTTGTCAGCACAGGGTTGATATTTTGTTGGTCACATGTTTTTAAGTTTAGCGTAGTTTTAAAAAAAATTTTTTTTTTTATT